GTTTATCACAAATAAAATTACTGGCCAGGCACAGTGGCTCATGCCTGTAATCCTAACACTTAGGGAGGCCGAAGCGGGAGGATCGCTTGAGCCCAAGAGTTCAAAACCAGCCTTGACCCCTCCTGGGGTCCCTCACTCTTACCCACCGTTCTACCCTGATGGGGTGGCTGGTGGGGGAATTGTGTCTGGACCGCCAGTGGGTCCCAAGAGTTAGGAGCTGCCTCATCTGTGGGGGCCCCAGGTGGGAATAAGCAGAATCCCGAATGCACTACCCCCTTTTCAGTATCAAGCTCTGGGATTGGTGGTACTCCCCCAACAAAGATGTCTAACACTCCAATGGGGGATAGGAACCCATCCTCTGCTTCACCACCAGCCACCTTCCCCCATGTGGCACCAAACCTGCCTCCCCCATCTGCCCAAGCCCCCTCAACAATGCATCAGTGGCTGGGCATGGTGACTCATGCCTGTAATCCCAACACTTTGGGAGGATGACACAGAAGGATCACTTGAAGTCAGGAGTTCAAGACCAACCTGGCCAACATGGCGAATAGGACCCCACTGGGTTACTGAGGCACCTCGCCACCGGCAGACCTCCAAGCCAGCCTTGTCCACTGTGGGACCTGCCACCTGCAAGCCCTAAGGTGTCATCTCTGTCACCACCACCTGTAGCCCCTGCCTCAGGGTTACCCCTAAGCACCAGACAGATCAACAGGAGCTTGCTGAGGAGTATGAGACTCCTAAGAGCACAGTGCACGCAGCCTGCAGCCCCCACCTTCTCCTAAGGAGGTAGCCCTGCCCAGCCATGCCAGTCAGCCAAGTGAGTGGATATGAGAGCGTGGGCCTGGAAGGGGAGTTATGAAGGGGTGACAGAGAGTCGCATGGGGGGGCCTTGTGTTTATGTGGTGCTTTTTATTGTTTGTTTGTTTGGGACAGAGTTTTTTTTTGAGATGGAGTTTCGCTCTTGTTGTCCAGACTGGAGTGCAAAGGCGCAATCTTGGCTCACCGTAACCTCCACCTCCCTAGTTCAAGTGACTCTCCTGCCTCAGCCTCCCAAGTAACTGGGATTACAGGCGCGTGACACCATACCTGGTTAATTTTGTATTTTTAGTGGAGATGGGTTTTCTCCATGATTATCAGGCTGGTCTTGAACTTCTGACCCAGGTGATCTGCCCGCCTCAGCCTCCCAAAGTGCTGGGATTACAGGTGTGAGCCATCACATCTGGCCTATGTGGTGTTTTTATTATTTATTTATTTATTTTTTGAGACAGAGTCTCACTCTGTCACCCAGGCTAGAGTGCAGTAAGACTCTTGGCTCACTGCAACCTCTGCCTCCCAGGTTCAAGGGATGCCTCAGCCCCCCGAGTAGCTGGAATTATAGGTGCATGCCACCACGCCCAGCTAATTTTTGTATTTTTGTAAAGACGGGGTTTCACCATATTGGCCAGGCTGGTCTTGAACTCCTTGACCTTGTGATCCGCCTGCCTTGGTCTCCCAAAGTGCTGGGATTAAGGCGTGAGCCACTGCGCCTGATCCTATGTGGTGTTTTTATTTTTTATTGAGACAGGGTCTTGCTCTGTCACCCAGGCTGGAGAGCAGTTCTGTGATCATGGTTCACTGAAGCCTTGAACTCCTTCGCTCAAGTGATCCTCTACCTCAGCCTACGTGCCTGGAGCTGGGACGACAGGCACATGCAGGAGCAAAAGGCTACTTTTTTTATTTCTATTTTTTGTAGAGATGAGGTTTTGCATTTTGTTGCCTGGGCTGGTCTTGAACTCCTGGCCTCCAGTCATCCTCCTGCCTTGGCCTCCCAAAGTACTGAGATTATAGGCATGTGCCACCACACCCGCCCTATGTGGTGTTTTTTGAACAATTAATGCAGTGAAAGGGATTTATAAACAGATGCCTGGTTGTTTTAATTTCCTCTGGAAAAAACTTCCTCAAAAAGTCTTAAGGCCAGGGCCCCTCTCCCTGCCTTACATTGCACCCCAAAGCCTTCCTGCTCGAGGCCTGAGTGGTTGATGCCTCGACTTTCCCACAACTCAAGGACTTTGCAGCCTGCACAGGATCTGCTCTTTCTCTGCTGGCGACAGACAGGCTCTTAGCAGCTTCCAGATTGTCGCCAATCTGGAAGGCCCCTCCTGTTCTACTCTCTGTCACCCCTTTGTATCCCTGCTTCCAGGCCCACCCACTCATACCTCCTCACTTGGCCTACTGACTGGCATGGTTGGGCACCACTACCACCTTAAGAAGGGGATGAGGGCTGCAAGCTGGGAGCACTGGGCTCTAGGGGGTCTCATAGTCCTCAACCAGCTCCTGTTTGATCTGTCTGGATTTATTTATTTATTTAATTTTTTTTGAGAAGGAATCTCGCTCTGTTACCCAGGCTGGAGTGCAGTGGCCCGATCTTGGCTTACTGCAACCCCACCTCTCAGGTTCAAGTGATTCTCCTGCCTCAGCCTCCCAAGTAGCTGGGACTACAGGTGCCTGCCACCACGCCCAGCTAATTTTTATATTTTAGTAGAGACGGGGTTTCACTATATTGGCCAGGCTGGTCTTGAACTCCTAGCCTTGTGGTCCGCCTGCCTCAGCCTCACAAAGTGCTGGGATTACAGGCGTAAGCCACCGTGCCCGGCCTTTTATTTTTATTTTTATTTTTTGAGGTGGAGTCTCACTGTCAGTCAGGCTGGAGTGCAATGGCACGATATTGGCTCACTGCAACCTTTGCCCCCCAGGTTCAAGCAATTCTCCCACCTCAGTCTCCTGAATAGCTGAAATTGCAGGCAGGTGCCACCATACCTGATTAATTTTTTTTTTTAAGACGGGGTTTCACCATGTTGGTCAGGCTGGTCTTGAACTCCCGACCTCAGGTGATCCACCCGCCTTGGCCTCCAAAGTGCTTGGATTACAGGTGTGAGCCACCATGCTGGGCCATACCTGACTAATTTTTGTATTTTTAGTAGAGACAGGGTTTCACCATGTTGGCCAGGCTGGTCTTGAACTCCTGACCTCAAGTGATCGCCCACCTCGGCCTCCCAATGTGCTTGGATTACAGACGTAAGCCACCACGCCTGGACTTTTTATTATGTTTTTTTGAGACAGGGTCACACTCTGTCACCTAGGATGGAGTGCAGTGGCATGATCTCAGCTCACTGCAACTTCCGCCTCCCAGATTCAAGTGATTCTCCTACCTCAGCCTCCCAAGTAGCTGAGATTACAGGCATGCATCACCAGGTCCAACTAACTTTTGTTAGTAGAGACCAAGTTTTACCATGTTGGCTAGGCTGGTCTTGAACTCCGGTCCTCTGGTAATCCACCTGCCTTGCCCTCTCAAAGTGCTGGCATTACAGGTGTGAGCAATGGTGCCTAGTCTTGTGGGGTTTTTAGAAGCTGCAGCTGTGCCCTCCCCACTAGCTGGGGCTGGGTGGTCTCAGGCTGCTTTGGCCAGCCCCTGGCAGGGTCTGAGCACGCGCTGCCTCCGTTCCAGGTGGGTTCAATAAACACCGGAGCCTTGCTTTGAATGCGCAGGTGCAGCGACTTGTACTTGAGACCACTGCAAGGCGTCCTGCGGGGTGAGAAGCGGGAGGACGCCATGGAGGAGGCGCAGCGCCAGGAGGACAGCACGCCAAGGAAGTGAGCGGGAGGATGAACGGGACTGCAAGGAGTGGGGGCTACAGCCTGCGAGGTGAGTGCCTCAAGAGATGTGCCTAATTTAAAAGCCAAGCAGGCGGGAGCAGTGGCTCACGCCTGTAATCCCAGCACTTTCAGAGGCTGAGGCTGATGGATCAGGAAGTCAGGAGTTTCATACCAGCCTGGTCAGCAAAGTGAAACCCTGTCTATGCTAAAAATTGGCCGGGTGTGGTGGCACGTACCTGTAGTCCCAGCTACTCCGGAGGCTGAGGCCGGAGAATCATTCGAACCCAAGAGGTGGAGGTTGCAGTGAGCCGAGACTGCGCCATTGCACTCCAGACTGGGCAACAGAGCGAGACTCCATCTCAAAAAAAAAATAAATAAATAAAAAGCCAAGCTGTTTTCCAGAATGTTTGTGTCATGTTACATTCCCAACAACACGAGAGAGCCAAACAATATGCTCAGTTCCTCCATACCCTTATCAACCCTTAGTATGGTCAATCATCTTATTTATTTTCATTTTGTTTTCAGACAGGGTCTCAGTTTGTCGACCAGGCTGGAATGCAGTGGCATGATCACAACTCACTGCAGCCTCGACCTTCCAAGTTCAAGTGATCCTCTCTCTTCAGCCACCTGAGTAGCTGGGACTACAGGCTCACACCACCATGCCTGGCATATGTGTGTGTGTATACATATATATATTATTATTATTGGTAGAGAATTGGTCTCTCTGTTGCCCACTCCTGGGCTCAAGTGAGCCTCCCACCTTGGCCTCCGAAGGTGTGGGGATTACAGGCGTGAGCCACTGTGCCTGGCCGTTTGGGTGAAATTTTGAGTCAATAAAAAACTTTCTTGAGACAGGGTCTGGCGCTCTTGCCCCAGCTGGATTGCAGTGGCATGATCTCGGCTCACTGCTGCCCCCGCCTCCTGAGTTCAAGCAATAAGCATTATTGTGAGTCAGCCAACAAAGAGACAGGAGTCCAGCTCAAATCTGCCTCCTGTGCTGTTCTGAAGTCAGTACTTTTTACATTTTTATTGTTTTTTTGAGACGGAGTCTCGCTCTGTTGCCCAGGCTGGAGTGCAGTGGCATGATCTCAGCTCAGGCCACTGCAACCTCTGCCTCCCGGATTCAAGCGATTCTGCTGCCTCAGCCTCCCGAGTAGCTGGGACTACAGGCCTCAGCCACCGCGCCCGGCCGAAACTGAACCTTTTACCGGATTTAACTCACTTCCTAGTAAAGTAGAACAGGCGCGTTCCCTGCGTTGCTCTGCCATCCCAGGTTTCAGCAATAGGATATCGCTTGGACCCCCCGCTAAGAGGCGGGGTTCAGGGTATGACGCCATTGGTCTCCAACACAGTCGCTGAGTCTCACGTCTATGCTCCAGTGGCCTTAGCTCACTTCCGTGGAGGCGGGACTTCCGGCCTTCCTACAGCACTTCCGGCCAGAGCTTAAAGCTTCGCTGCTGGACAGTCTGCGGGAGGTGCCGCGGCTCAGAACACCTGGTCTCTCGGCGCGCAGGTGAGTTTCAAAGGTTCGGGGAGCTTACGGAACGAGCGTTCCTGGCGGGTGAGTCTCCGGGCAGTGCTCTTGGCCTTTTCTTTCTTCAGTTCCTGGAATCTTCCCAGATTGCCAGAGCCGGGCGTTGCCTGCTCGCTGTGTCTTTGACCCAACCCAGCTGTGCCGGCCCGAAGGCAGTGCGAAGGCGAGAGCGTGTGTGCCGGGAGGCGGGCCAGCTGGCTGGGTTGGGACCGCCCTGCGCCTCCGGGAAGGCCTTATTTAGGAGTAGCCGGATGTGATCCCTTGCATGTTAAGCTTCTCTCGGAGAATTGGCATGTCACTTTGGAAGAGGTGAATATGGTACAGGCGACCAACAACTTTTACAAGGTGTCCTCTTAGAGGAACAGCCCCGTCGTTCTGAATCACTTAACATTGGTTATGACGGAGAAATAACGTTAAGTAGGTGGAGAGCACTTAAAGCAACTATTTGTTTGTTTGTTTGTTCTTTTGAGACGGAGTCTTGTTTTGTTGCTCAGGCTGGAGTGTAGTGGCACGATCTTGGCTCACTGCAACGTTTGCCTCCCGGGTTCAAGTGATTCTCCAGCCTCGGCCTCCCGAGTAACTAGAACTACAGGCATGAGTCACCACGCCCAGCTAATTCTTGTATTTTTAGTAAAGACGGGGTTTCTCCATGTTGGCCAGGCTGCTATCGAGCTGCTGACCTTAGATGATCTGCCCGCCTCGGCCTCCCAAAGTGCTGGGATTACAGGTGTGACCCACCGCGCCTGGCCTAAAGTAGATATTTTTACTTGGTGTTTACTACCAAATGGGGACTGTTCTAAGTTGTGGGTGGATCCAAATGCTTGTATGATAGATAGCTCCTCAGAGAAGCAGTCTTGGCGGGAAGACAGGGTTAACAAATTGCCAAACTGATAGATAAAGTTAGTGGAGGTGGAGATGAAGAGAGAGGACTTCTCTTTTGTCTGGCATTAATAAAGCCACGGCCACTGACTTTTGATATTTGTTTTATAACGTTTTTCATCTTAAACTTAAAAAGTTTTAACTTGTCTGTATGCTCATAATTTATGTGCTGTTGTAAGCAGTATATCCCTGGGATTTTTTTTTTTTAAATCAAAGCGGATAGCTTTTTTTGTTTGTTTGTTTGTTTTTGTTTTTGAGACAGTCTTGCTCTGTTGCCTAGGCTGGTGTGCAGTGGCCCAATCTCAGCTCATTGCAACCTCTCTGCCTGCTGGTTGCAAGCAATTTTCCCACCTCAGCCTCTTGAATAGCTGGGATGACAGGCACGCACCACCACGCTGTTAATTTTTTTTTTTTTTTAAATTTTGTCATGTTGGCCAGGCTGGTTTCGAACTCCTAACCTCAGGTGATCCACCTCCATTGGCCTCCCAGAGTGCTGGGATTACAAGTGTGAGCCAGCACGCCTGGCCCAGCCTGCCTTTTGACTGGCAGGTTTATTGGATTTATATTCATTGTTACTATTGTAATATTTATTCAGATCAAAATCTTTGGTGTCATCCCTGATTAATCTCTTTCAGATATATCAGCAAATCCTATGGACTCTCCACCTTCAAAATCTGTCCACACATCCAAGCTCTTCTCATCACCTTCACTTGTTCAAGTTACATTGTCTCTCACTTGAATTACTGCAGTAGTTTCTGCTCTTTCCTCTTTCAGTCTGTTTGTATCACAGCTTCTTGATTGATCCTTCTAAAAACCATGGCAAAACCTGGTCTCTACGAAAAGTACAAAAATTAGCCAGGCGTGGTGGCGGGCCCCTGTAATCCCAGCTACTCAGGAGGCTGAGACAGGAGAAGAGCTTGAACCTGGGAGGCGGAGGTTGCAGTGAGCCAAGATCGCACACTGCAGTCCAGCCTGGGTGACAAGAGTGAGACTCTATCTCCAAAAAAGAAAAAATCAGATTTATCTCTTTCTTCTCAAAAATTCTCCAAGGACTACATATTTCACCCAGAGTAAAAGCCAAAGTCTTTAGAGTAGATTATTCCTATAAAGTTTTATATATTGTGGCTCTGCGTCATTTCTGATCTCATCTTGTTCTAATCTCCTGTTTGCTCCACTCTGTGGCCTCCTCAAGCACATCCTAGTCTCAGGGTATATTTACTTGGTATTCCTTTCCCTCATATGTCCACATGGTTCAGTTCTTTACCTCTCATATTTTGGGGACTGTTACCTTCTC